TCGGCGGCGAGCTACGGTGACGAGGTCGGGCGGAGGAGAGGAGGAGAGGCGACGACGAACTCGAGGGGAGGCTTGAGGGCCTGGGTGGAGGCGGCGACGGCAAGGAGGGCGAGAGCCAGGGTGACGAGCTTAAGAAAACCATTGGTTTTAGAGAGAGAGAGGAGCGAGAGAGAGGAGATGAGAGAGAGATGTTATGAGTGATGGGTCTGAGGGATTGAGGAGAGGGGATAAGGATGTTTTGGGCATTTTAGCTTAGCTGGCATGTAATAATTGCTAAAAAAGAGCTGCAACACAAAATATCACACTTCAAGGAGCTGAACAACATGAGGGAAGCTAGGAGGGGCTGCAGTACATGAAGTTTCTGCTTTTGGGGCCCCGACACATTTTTCCCAATATAAAAAGTTACAATTAAACTTTATTAGTATTCTTTTCCAAAGATAAAGATAATTATCTAACAATAAATGATCAATTAAAAATAATTTATAATCCTATATATATATATATAGAGAGAGAGAGAGAGAGAGAGAGAGGAGAATAAAATTTTTGGGGGCCCCAATAAAATGGAGGCCCTAGGCATATACCTTAGAAGTTGGATTCTCTACTAATATTAATATTTCCTAATGAGAATTGTGAAGAGTTAGGAGGGGGACCCACAAGGATGGGTGAAAAAATAAAAGGTCATGATGAAAATGAAAGGCTAGGATTTCCTTATTAGGAGATATTAGGAGATTTTCATTAGTAGAGGATCCCAATCCTATGTCTTAGTGGCCTATGCCTTCAGTCGACCTTGTTTACACCGGTCATTTGAAACCCACCTACTTCAAAGAGAAAGAGTTTCATATGTCCCTTAATTATTTCATATTTTAGAATTAATCCCTCAAATTATTAAAATTTATATTAGGTCCTACAATTCTTAAATTATTTAGAGTTGGTCCCTCAAATCACTAAAATTGTTATTAGGTCCTTTAGTTCTTAGGTTAACTTGAAACTATCTTCATCAACATTTTAATTTTTTTTGTCTTTTACATATAAACCTAAAGTTTTGCACTGTTTATTTGAAACCCACCTACTTCAAAATGTAGAAGAGTTTTTTTCATATGTCCCTCAAATATTTCATATTTTTAAACTAATCCCCCACATTATTAAAATTACTATTAGGTCGCACAATTTTTAAGTTATTTAGAATTGGTCGCTCAAATCACTAAAATTGCTATTAGGTCCTTTAGTTCTTAAGTTGATTTGAAATTAATCCCTCTAATCAAAGGGTAGAAGTAGCAATTAGAAAGATTAATTTGGAAAACTTAATGAGAATTAGAGGACCTTAGCAATTTTAGTGATTTGAGGGATTAATTCGGAATAAATTTAGAATTTAGGAAGCCATTAGAATTTTCAATGATTTGAGGGACTAGATTCAAATTATGTAAGATTAAGGGAATACTATTTTAAAACACTAAGCATGCGTAAAAAGTTTTCACCAAACATTATTATTGACTATTTCTTTTAAAAACTAAGCAGAAGCATCCTGAAAAAACAATACCAAACTAACCCTTAGTTCTGTAGAGACTGGAAATGAGGGAGGAAGCTAATGGCTAGGGGGTCTCTATACTACTCGGGTTATGATCAAGATCAGACAACTGTTTGGATTTGTTTCGATATCCCATGTAATCCTGGTACTTCTTACTTACCTATATTTACTCATTGATAATATAGACATATTTTATGATTGTTATGATTGGTGTGCCTAGTCTGTGGGTTCTGATGCTATTTAAATTTTTTGATTGCGTTTAATTATCCCATCACATGTTTAGCCCAATTTCACCGACTCATGCATTATCTAATTAGCATTGAACTTTTAACCTTTTTATCCTTAATTTAATTTTCTCGATGAATGGTTTTTTAATCTTCGTAAGCACATGAAAACGTTCTTTTATCCATTTAGGGGCTGTTTGGTTCGCTATTATAAGGGGTGGAAAACTCAGAAAACCTCTCCACGTCAGATTTTTAGCCCTCCACGTCAGTATTTTTGTTTCCGTCCATTTCTTTGTGCCGTTTTGGTTCGCTCGAATGGAAGAGGGGAAACTCTGCTGAAATCGCCACCAACTAAGATTTTTTCCCTCTCTGATTTCCTTCTCCAACCAAGTAAAATTGATGAAAACTCTGCCACGTCAGATTTTTTTTCCTTCTCTACTTTGTTTACAAAAGTTTTCCTTTTTTTCTATGCGAACCAAACACAAGAAAAATAAATACATTGGTTTCCCACCATTTTTTATGTGCGAACCAAAGCAAAACAATCTATTTCTTGGAAATGTTTGAAAAACTCAAAACTTGTGTTTTTTTGCATGGAATTGCATTTCTCTATATCAAGGAAACGAACCAAACAGCCCCTTAAAATTAATCCGACCCTATAACTCATGATTAATTTAATAGGATAACGTGACAACTTTAATTGAATTACTTGATGATAAAGTTAGTTTTATTTGTTTTTATTAATTGATAAAATTAAACAAAGGGGACAATGCAGAAAGCCTAAAAGACAAACAGATAACTAGGATCCGTTTGGATATCATGGTGTTTTACTTGTTTCCATGATGTTTTTGTCAAAAACAAAACACCATGCGCTTGGAAACCATGGTGTTTTTTGAGCTAAATCATCCTCAAACAAAAAACACACCACTTATTTAAAAACACCTTTTAGGTGTTTTAAGTTTGATGTTTTGATTTTGAGTTTGAGAATGTGTTAATATAATATCTAATATAA